GCTCGAAACCGGCTTTTTTTTTTTCTTTTTTTTTTTTTGGGTAATCCTTGAACTCCAAGCTCTGGAGACTTCACTCCTCTAAGGGGGCTCCCGTCCGCTGAGGGCATGGACTCTCCCTCCACTAAGGGTGCCCCTACCACAGAAGGCCTCCCCTCTCTACTTCCCAAATGCGAAAAGAAAAAGAGGAGCCCAGGGTGTATAGGTTGTGGTAAAATGCATCTGCCTGTTTTACTATTTATAGTAAGAGACGTATTGGATGGACAGTGACACCTTCTATAGAAAGATGCATCCGTATAATCTTTTTTTTTTTTTTCACGACTAATGGTGTGGGAAGGCCCTCCTACCTTTGCGCTTGTGATCCATCCCCACAGAGCTGGCGACGGCCTTGAGATCTCATCATTGAGCTGTCTAGCCCCAGGTAATTCAGAATTACATTATTCAATTTAAATTTATTCTGCTCATCTTATTATTCCATATGGAATGGATTCGAACTCAGATCTGTATTTCACTACCTTCTTCCCCCGAATACAACTTGCGGTCAGTATAGCTGTATCTAGACTGAAAGATGCCTCACATACAGCTATAAAGACCGTACTTCGTTGTATTCGGTTTGGGGGAAGAAGGTAGTTCGTGGGTTTGGGTCTCGCCGCACGGCACGCGAAACGAAAACGAAACGAGTGCATCTGCCCACCAAAGGTGGCAAAATACACTCGTTATTATTTATAGCAAACCGATGAACCTGGCCATTTTCTGTGGGAAGATACATTCGTTTCGTTTTTCGTTTCGTGTGCCGTGCGGCAACGCCCTTTACCAACTGAGCTACCGGAGGGTCAATTTGTGCATCAGGGGAGATTCGCAACGGTAACCCCCTCTTCATCCTTTTTTTTGTTTTTTTTTTATTTTATAAACAGGGGTTTTCAACCATTTCTCGATTTATTGGGCGCGTCATCCTTGGGGCCATGCTTATTTTTTTTTTCAAGTCTCCAGCCATGCCAATCTTCTTCTTTCTCTCTGTACCGTTCGAATTCCAATTTTTTAACGGACGGATGTCACGAAGGACCCACCCCCCCTCTTCTTGACGCTTCGTCACGGCCGCCCTCAAATTCCCTGACTGAGTTTTCGGAGGAAATAACCCTACCAGCCTAATTATTCGTGAGCCCAGCGAATTTCATGAGCGAGTCTTTGGAGAGATCGTAGCGAACCCAGCGTCATAACTCGTTTCGTTTTTTTTTTTTTTTTTTTTTTAATTTTACGAGTGCTTATGTCCACTCAAAGTGGGAAAATACATTCGTTACTATTTATTGTAAAAGGATGAAATGCTTCGATTGCTGTGGGAAGTTTCTTTTTTATTTTTTATTTTTTTTGTGTGTGTGTGTGTGCCGTGCCGCGTCGAGGCCGTTTTTTTTCTTTCTTTTTTTTAAAGGTAACTTCAGTAGAGTCACAAAAACGAGTTATAATGGGGAAAAAAAAAAAAAACGAGTTATAATTGCACTACGATGGCGCAAGATACAGTTTGCAATTGCACTTCAGGCACCGTACCTGGCCAGGAAGCTGGGTTCGAGGGCCCGAACTGCAATTCGAAACTGTATCTTGGCCCATAGCGCAGTAATTATAACTCATTTTTGGGACTCCCAGGTACATGTTTTATATACAGCCGGGATCGGGACAAGCCCCATTTATATACAGCCGGGTTGGGACAAGCCCCAATAGCTACACGCGTGTCGTAATTTGTGAGGCAATACGTACAGAGAGAGAGAGAGAGATGGGTAAGAAAGTTTTTTTTTTCCTTTTTCCTTCATTAGTATGAAAAGCGACAAAAGAAAAAGAAAAAGAAAGAAAAGGCGACAGCCACACACACGAAATCGAGACCAGGGGCGTGCTCCCACTAGAGAAGTGGATCGGATCGAATGCCTGAATCTGGTCGAGGTTATGGAGATGTGCAGGAAATCGAGATTGAACTGCTCTTCTGCATCTCTGGGCAAAACACATCCAGATTCAGGAGCTCGATCCTATCCTTTTTGCTAGTGGGACCTCGGCCCAGAGTTCGAATCTAGATACCGCTCCATGGCCAGAATAAAATAAAATCATTCTTTTTTTTTTTTTTTTTTTTTTTTTTTTTTTTTTTTTTTTTTTTTTTACATTTGGCTCTGTTCTATTCGTGGGGAGCAGCACCTGCTGGGAACCGGGCCCAGCGTCCCTTATCAAATAATCTCAGAAGATCCTCGGGGCCGGTGTCCCCACAGTCTACCCGGTACAACTGGAAGGAGGAGAAAAACCGACTAGGAGCTCCCTACTGTTCCAGCAAGAAGGAAGGTAGTTAAGGTAGCATTACCAGAGGTGGAGAGAATACCTGGCCCTCTCAGTGAAGAACTGCCTGATAGGAATCTAGCTCAGCGACTAGTGAAGAACTACCTGACTAAAATCATTCTGAATGCTCCTTTCGCGGTTGAAAAACAGAACTGGGGGGGAGGCGACCGCTAGAGCGGCGCTTCATGTGTGCCTGCGTTAGCCGGAGGTGACGTGCTAGGTCATCGACCTAACCTAATTCCGCCATTGCTGGTTTTCACCAGCGGCTATGGTGGAAGGGAAGTGTCCAGTCCAGAGTAGGGCTTTCAGGTTGATTCCACCTGAATACAGAGCACGTAGGAGCCGGGGCAACGTCCTCCTTTGACCCTTTTAGCCGAGAACACAGCCACATTCAGTCATAATG